GTGATGAGGATGATGATGGTGGTGATGGTGATGAGGATGATGATAGTGATGATGATGATGGTGGTGATGGTGATGGTGGTGATGGGGATGATGATAGTGGTGATGGTCATGATGGTAATGATGATGGTGATAGTGATGATGATGGTGGTGATGGGGATGAAGATGATGGTGATGATGGTGATGATGATGATGGTGATGATGATGATGGTGATGATGACAGTGGTGGTGGTGATGATGGCTAACATCCGTAGAACTGTCATTACTCACCAGATGTGACTGTAAGTGCTTCACAGGAACCCAGTCATTTAATCACAACAGTCCCATGTGTTAGGTAGTTTAGCATAACTTTACAGAAGGAGAAACTGAGGCAGGGAACTACATACGTCACCCAAAGTCACCCAGCTGGTAAGTGGAAGGACTAGGACTCACTGCCCTTTGATGATCTTTGCAAATGAACCTGGTCCACGGACCTGCAAAACACTAAGGGCGAGTGGTGGTGGGAGGGGGGGCGGGAAGCATGCACCTCCCAGAGCCTCAGCCTTTAGGAAAATCAAGATCAGAGGAGAGGACTCAGGGAGCCTGGAGCTGAGTTCCTCTGCCCTCCTCGTGCCTCCTCAGGGCTGACTCGCTGAGCGGAGCATAAGTGCAGTTTGCTGACGCTCTGGGCTCTGCTCTGGCCACGCTGACGTGTACGAAGGGCAGCTCTGCTTTTCATTACTGGGTTTTGCAACGCTGGTGTCACAACACTGGCGGTGATCCTGCCAGCGTGGCGGCAGAGGGCACAGCGCATGGCCTGTCTCGGTGCAGTTGCAATGTTGGCATCCTCTACCCTCCTCCCCCAGGTCCCGTCCCCAAACCCAAGGCTGTGAGGGCCCTGTGCACCCCCACATCGTGTGCCTTGGGGTCATGCATGTGTATCAGAGTCTCACGTGTGCACACCCCACGCAGCCCTTCCTGGGACAGACTCTGATGAAGTTACTCATGGGGAGGTGGAGAGGCTGGGAGGGGGAGCTGGGGGGAGCAATGTGCAGCGGCTCCCTCGCACCACAGCTCTCCAGTATTTAGTTTTTGAATCCAGATGGTTCAGGCCCACGTGCTGGGCAGCTGTAATTATTTATAGTCTTGATCTTCATTCATTACAGTGTCTTCTCCAGCCAGGAGGGAAGGCGCCTTTTCCGAGGGGCTCTGTTCCACAGCAGCTTCTCTGAGGCCCCGGAAGGGTCGCTGCTGGGCAGCTGGACAAGGCTCCCGACCCCAGGAGGGCGGCCGGGGGCTGGAGGCCTGGTGTCCCCTGAAACCAGCCTGACTGCTAACAAGGCCTGGCAGAGGGAAGGGAGAGGAGTGGGCTGGCCGAGGGACCAGTGGAGGGAATGGGGTGCAGAGCCTGTGGTTCTATTGCTCTTGCTGTTTGGACCCTGCAGCCCAGCGGGGAGCCCCAGGCACAGGACCAGGTGTGCCCAGCGCAGGTGCAGAGAAAGGCAGGGGGCGGCCCCTGGCCCCATCTCCGGGGAGCCCAGTTCTCCCGGAATGCCACATGGGCGCCAAGTCACTGCAAACGCGGGATAGTTCCTGGGCATATTTCAAGAACTTCTTTCCCAGAGCGAACACCCCCAGCTCCTCCCCACGGAGACCTCGCAAAGGCTTCTTTACCTTAAATAGGTTTGCTGTTCGCTTTTTTTAAAAAAATGTATTTTTTGTGATTTCAGAGAGGAAGAGAGGGAGAAACATCAATGGTGAGAGGATCATTGATTGGCTGCCCCACACGGACTGAGCCTGCAGCCTGGGCAGGTGCCCTGACCGACTGAACCATGGCCTCCGGGCGCACAGGTGGACCCTGAACCGATGGGCCCCCCGCCCAGCTGCTGTTCCCTCTTCAGTCATCCCCGCAAACGAGCGCTTCTAAGGCCCCGAGGGAGCAAAGAGCTCCCCGCATGCGCACTGCTCAGCCCGCACCCTCCCGGGCCCAGTGCCCTGCACCCCAGCCGTCCGGGAAGGACCCACCCGGAGCCTCCCAGGTTTGCATTTGGAACATTTATTTCAGGAAATACATTTCCAACACTTTGTTATTTATACAAAAAGAGGCGGATTCTCAGGAGGCACCTAGCGAAAGGCCACTGCGGAACGCTTCCCCGTGAGGGGGGTTCGGGCTCGGGGCTGGAGGCGGCGGGCGCCCGGGGGTGCCCCACCTCGCGCTCTGACGCTGGAAGCGGACACGTCCTTCAACATCGCGGTTTTGGCAAAAACATGGCAAGTCGGTAAGTAAACTGTTTCACCGAGGGGTCCTCCTCTGGTGAGGGGGAGCCAACGCCCGCAGCCGGGTCCGTCTGCACCCCACGTCTCCCGCTGCACCCCTGGGGTCTGCAGGTGCCCCGCACCCATCCCGAGGCAGGAGGAAGCCCGCTGCACACGCATGCGCGGTCCCTGCTGGTCCCCTTGTGGAGAGGGGCTGAGGGAGTATGGGGGTCCCAGGGCCGTGCTGGTGGGAAATCCTGGCTTTCCCCTCTTGGGGGGGTCTTTACAATGGGTCCTGGGGTGCAGGCCCCAGGCACACTCAGGGCCACAGAGTCAAGGTCTCCCACCTCCCAGCCAGCAAGGGCGTGGCCAGGGGGGCTGAGCGGGCACCTGGGGTGGCCTGGGTCTTCATCTAACCAGAGCACCAGGGCCAAATGGGTGTCCAGACAGACAGACAGACCTGCACACTTGCTCCGCCCACAGGTGGGGGGGCGCAGGGACCAAGGCCCCTTGGGCCACTGAGCAGCCCAGCCACGGTCCAGAGGCCCCTCCTGGGCACCGGCCATCACTTCCTCACTCAGCTCCCCACTTGCTTGACATTCCTAAAATTTGGGGGGCGGGGGGTGCATCTTTTCCTCCTTTGAATCCTCAATCAAATCCCAGCCAGTGGGGACGACAGGGGCACCACAGGGCGACGAGGACACACCTCCCTCTCCAACCCGTCTCCGCTCCTGTCCGAGGGGACCGCGGGAGTGTGGGCTCGAGGGGGCGGCTGGGTAAAGGCACTTCCTGCTCCAGGGCGGGTTCGCAGGTGGGTGGGCGGGCGGCCGCCGAAGGGCTCACCACGTCTAAGCTATTGGCAACTTGCGTCTCGTGGAATTAACTAGTCTCCCCGCGGGGGTACAGGGTCAGGGGCT